TTGGTTTGAGGCAGGGTTGACCAGGCTGGCCTTGAACTCACAGAAATCTGCCTGCCTCTGCCTCCCAAGCGCTAGGACTAAAGACTCATGCTACCGTGCCTGGCTCAGCTACTTTCTTATAGAGCCCAAGAGCATCTGCTTAGGGATGGTGCTACACGGAGTGGGCTGGGCCCTCCCACACTGATGAACAGTAAAGACAGTCTCCTACAGACTTGCCTCATGCACCAGTCTGATCTAGGCAAGTCTTTTTTTTTTTTTTTTTCATTTTTAAGTTAAATTTTTGTGATTTTTATACAATGAAGTTTGATGGCATTTAGATCTGCTTCCCTCTTCCTACCTGCCTCCACTGCCCCCCTGCCCAATTTAATGAACACACACACACATACACACACACACACACACACACACACACACACACATATGGCCCATAGAATATGATTTGTGTCCCCAGTGTCCTTCATTGTGAATCCATTTTCTGGGCCCCAGTACCAACCCTGTAACGTCTGTCCCCCTCCCAGCAGCCATCAGTTACCCAAAGTTCCTTAGGTTCGTTTGGGATTTCTTACCTACTTCCCCATGTCTATGCTGGGATTTTGTCTGTCTTGAGCGCACATAGGTCTTGTGCGTGCTGTCACCATGGCTGTGAGTTCACATAAGTAGAAAACCAGCTGTTTGGAAGACTGTCTCCTTGTGGTCGTCCACTCCCTCTGGCTCTTACAATCTTTCCACCTTCTCTTCTGCAATGATCCCTGAGCCTTGGAAGGCAGAGGTTTGAAAAAAGCTGTCCTACTCAGGGATAAGTTCTTTACGGCCTCTTGTTCTCTGCACATTGGCTAATTGTGGGTCTTGTTGTTAATCACCATCTGCTTCTCCGGTGAGAGTTGAGAGATGCGTGCGTACTAAGTGTAGATGTTGCATTGAAGATGTGTCACTTAGGGTTAAGCATCTCACAGACATTTATTCTCTGCCTTTGACCAGTTCTGGAATTCTATATCAGGCAATTTTTAAATGTATTCTTTCCTCCCAGATGACTCTAGGCTGCATCAAGTTGACAAGCTAAGTAGCACAAGCAGTTATTTTAACCTTTCTGAAACAAGTTTTAAGGTTGTCATGAAGATGAAATAGTGCAAGTCCTAAGGATAGTGTCTGGTATGTGGTGCTAAGTAAATGTTTACTGTTATTTTCATAAGTGTTCTGGACCTCATCACAAAGGAGAGGGAAGTAGACTTGTGCATGGGAAGTAGGGAAGGGGACGAGTGAGCCGGTGTCACCAGGCAGCAGCATTCTGGGAAGTGTTGGATCAGATGATTGCAGGCTGTGGCGGGCAGAGCATGTCAGAGAGCCTGAGCGAGGAAACGTCATGCGAAGAAAGGAGAATCGCCAGCACAGTCTGAGAACTGCATCTAGCGTGGCTCTTGATCTTGCTGTCCACAGTGGCCTTTCCCTCTGCCTCTTCCCGGGGCTGGTTCCTGTGTAGCGTCCAGTCACCTCCTTCTCTGATTAGCTGTATGACCTTGGGTAAGCTACTGAGCCCCTTTATGACTCATTTTCTTTGTCATGAATCGAGGCATTACAGTACCTGCCTATTCTCTAAAGCAAGGGTCATTCCTCCATGAGGTTTATGTGTATAATGTGTATACTGTGTCCACTGCATACTGTGCCCTCTTCTCCCTATCTAGACCACAAGTCACAGGCTATATCAGCATCTATGTCTGTTTTGCCCAAGGCTCTGTCCCTAGGGCAAGAACAGAGCTTGACATATCAGTTGAAAGATGGGTAGAGAACCAGACTCTAGGGCCAGGCTCTGAGGCTGATGCTGAGGAAGCCCCTGGCCAAGTCAAGGATACAGCCACATACTTTGGTACCAGACTCCGACTTCTACTTAACTGTACCTTGTCTCCCAGTCAGGTTCTTGAATCTCATTCACCATGCTGCTCAGGGTCCAAGGAAGAAATACCCAGAGACACAGACTGAAAACCAAGAAATTGGATGGAACTCAGAGCCGCTGGTGAGTGTGGCTCCTTCACTTAGTGAGCATGGCAGCCACACAGATGGTGGCCAAGAGGACAGAGTGCGGGGTGGGGGGCAGCCTCTCCTGGATTTGAAATCTGGCTCGCACTCAGTAGTTGTGTGACCTTGGGAAAGTTATTAAGCTGTTTTGTGGCTTAGTTTTGTTGTCGTGGAATGGAATATCACAGTGCCTATCTTACAGGGCCTCAGGAGGAAACAAGGCAGTGTTTGTGAAATGTCCAGAGCAGTGCCTGGTATGAGGTTGCTACTCAGTAAATGTGGATTGTTCTGCTGTGAAGTAGATGGGACGATCAGGAAGGAGGGTCCAGGGCACATCTGAGACCCAGTCGGGTGCTAGTCCTGGCTTCTTGGCTTGGACCCCATTGCCTTGGCACATTGAGTGATTCTCCAGAGTGGTCTGCACCCTTCCTCTGTCCTATTCTAGGAGCCTGGCTTCTTATCCATTACGGGACAAGTCCTGGTGTGAGGATCTGCTGCAGGACCACTCCCTGGGCATTTGAATAACAGGCCCTGTAGGTCCAGCTTTTACCTGTGGGTCATTACTCTGCAGCGGCTCCTCTTCAGATAAGGGGTATTGTCTTGGAGAGAGAACCCTGCACGCAATGGGAAAGGATGTGAGAGAGCCCCAGAACACACACAAAGGACTGAATCCAGAAAGGAGCTAGAGGGGTGGTTAGAGAGCCAGAGAAGCAAAGACCACTGCAAGGGAAACAGGAGGGGTGGGGAGAGCAGCAAACTCAGTGATTGAGGCAGGGGTATCAAAGAAGAAACTGTTCAATGACATCACTGAAAATGGGAAACGAATTATTCAGTGACTGTTAAGAAAACACATGGAGACTTTGTTCAGAGGGATGGTTGTTGTGGGTACTAGCCCAGGAATGGTATTTGCAGTGGAGAGAGATTGGGCTTGGTTCTGAATGCAGCGTGGACAATGGGACTGTAAGCTAAGGATCAGGTGTGGGGCCAAAGATAGAAAATGCCAGCTGGAAGCTTCAGAGATGAGGGGGATTCAGACTAACCTGACCTAAGAGGGTCCTTGTTGAAGGCCGAGCAGGTGAGCAGACTTCGTGGGGGGAAGGGGGAGGAGGAACCTGATCAAACATGGAGAGTGATCAGACACTGAAGTGGCATTGTTAAGCTGACAGCAGATTTTGTCCAAACTGACAGGCTGGGGATCGATATGGAAGTCCGAAGAGGCCTGACTGAGAGAGTTCAGGCCAGCCTGAGCAGAGCTTGGGCAATGAGGCAATCTTTCCCACATGAGGGTTTGAAGGAAGGAAAATTGTGGTGGAGGTAGAAATCAGGCTAACTAAGGGGTCAACATAAAAAATTATCACAAAGCACAAATTACTTAACTCACTGCGCTTCCTTGGGGTGTTTAGAGAAGTTTATTGTAGATTCATAGGTGGGAGCTTAAGAGAGGAGAGCCATGTGGTTTGAATTAGGTGTGGAGGTTGGCCATGTGGAGGACAAACAGCCAAGTGGAGAGGGGAGCCTTAGAGAGAGAGTGCAAAAGCCACAAGTACCAGAAAAAGCAGACCCGGGCTCGTCAGCAACCACAAGAAAGGCAGAAGGAGACACAGGGAAAGTCACCTTTCCGACTCCGAAAGGTGGGCAGATGGCGGGTCTGTGGTGACTGTTCTAGGGAACAGGAGTTCTGGGAAGGAAAAGTGCTTTATATTATTAAACAGATAATTATTCTGCCTACCTCCTTTTTTAAAAAAAGAATAACTGTCTAGATTCCGTGGGTTCAAAGTATGCACCTGTAAATGTATCTTCTAGAAGTCTCCTGCTCAGATCCTTCCAGGCCTTGCAGATAAAGCACTGTTGCAAATACTCCATGCCAGTCCAGCATCATGACACTGAGGATAATGCCATCAGGTGGGGCTGGTGACACAGAAAGCAAACATACCCTTAGACGTCCTCACTGTGACAACACACGAGGAAGACAACTTATTGGAGGAAGGTTTTATTTTAGCTCAGGGTTTCAGAGGTTACAGTCGAGGCCTGGCTGACCTCATTGATTCTGGGGCTTTGGTGAGGCAGAGAGTGTGGTGGAGCAGAGATGCTCCCTTCATGGCAGCCGGGAAGTAGAAATAGCATGGCAGTAGAAACAGGAAAGGCCCACAGCAAGGGCTAGTCCTCAAGGACACTCCCAGTGACTTACTTCCTCTAACTAGACCCCAACTTTCTCCACCATCCAATAGTTGACTCGACTTTTATATCCATCAGTTGATTATCCCCAAAGGCTCATCTTTGAAAACTGTTTGCGTGGGAACTGAGCCTTAATACACAAGCCTTTCAGGGGGACACTTGATACCCAAATTATAATACCTTCCGAAACCCATTAGGTTCGTGTCTGTGGAGCCACAAAAGCTAGAGTTCAGAGGGAGACAGTTTGGGGCAGAATAAGCCTGACTGGCCCCAATTTGGAGATCCCTGACCCCTAATGAGACCATGTCTTGTTCAGGCAGTGACCCCCAACTTCAGTATGGGACATTTGAGAAATCACGTTCTATGAGCATCTCTCAGCCTCATGCCTCCTGGTAGCCGCTGAAAATAAGTTCTTTGATTGCACAGTGTAGCTCCCTCAAGACTGATGTGTCACCGTGCTCATTTTTACTCCATAAACTCCTTCAACTAACTCATTGTTTTACTGAATGTGCTTTTATTAGGTCGAGGTGCGAGATGCTGCCTTAGGAGCTGGGTCTGCACTAAAGTAGATGCAGTCTCCTCTCAATGAGCTGCTTCTAGGAGTGGGGGGGGTCCTCAGGCCCAACTCAGGCAGTGGGGAGGACACTGCCTCTGCTTTGATCCCTCAGCCTCATGGTCTTTGATATAAACGTTGACATCTCTATGTCACCGGTAGGGTTCAGCAAGGAGGAGTGCTCATGTCACAGGAGGGTGGGCCTGATTCATCCACAGCTCCACACCACACAAATCCAGATTGTCTGCCTCCCCGACATGCTTCTTTCTGATCCTGCCTCCTTCCCTTTAGGTCAACCCGGATCGCCAGGACCGCAGGCTGAACCACTTCAGAGTCTACCATGACATCACTCTGTACAAGGCTAAAATGTGGAGCCTTGGGGAAGATGATCGCCACAAATAGCCTTCTCGAAGTGGGCCGGTCTGTGTACTGAACCCCCGAGGAGTGTATTGCCCACTGAAATAAATAACGCTTTTGTTAAAAATCATACATATCACATCTCATAGACCACAACGTTAGATTTAGAGTCAGGCAACAGTCTGGGGTAAGAATGGTTCTTGACGTCTTTACAGCATCACAGAGGCAGGCAAGGGAGCAGCAGAGCTCCAGAAGAGAGAATTGTGCTGAAGAAGCAGCCTGAGGGGTCACAACCCGTGTCCATCTTGTTTGTACATGGTTTGAACAGTTGCCTGCTTGGAATAGCTGACGCTCAGGTACTTGTAAGGATGTTGCAGTGTTGCCTGTCAGGTTAGGTTGCAGTTCACTACTGTGTTCTGGTTTCATTTCTGTTGCTGTGACAAATACCCCAACAAAATGCAACGTAAGGGAGGAAAGGGTTTCTTGTCCCACGCTTCCAGGCTGCAGTTCCTTTGTGTAAGTCCAGGCAGGAACTCAAGCATCTAGTCACATCCTATCAGTCAGGAGCACAGAGATAAACGCACCCTTGCTTCCTGCTTGTGTCTGCTTCCCTCACCCTCACAGTGCAGGACTCACCTCGAGGGTGGTCTTCCCACTTCAGTTAACAACAATACAACCCCCACCTGCATGCCCACAGGCCAACCTGATCCAGATAATTCCTCATTTAGACCCTCTTCCCAGGTGATTCTAGGTTGTGTCAAGGCAACAATTCAAACTAACTAGAACTACATACAGAGTACCATTCCCAACTTACAAATGGGGTTTTGTGCAGTAAAGGAAACAGTCAACCGAGTGAAGAGACAGGTCACAGAATGAAAGGGTTAGCCCTATATCAGAGGATCGATATCTAGAATATGCAAAGAACTCAAAAAACTAAGAAATCAATAAATTGCCTAATGAAATACACAGTTCTCGAAAGATGAAACAAACGTATAGTAAACACACGCAACAAACATGTTCAACCTCGTTGGCCGTCGGGGATGCGCAAATCAGAGCTACACTGGGATTCCTTTCTACTCCAGTGAGAATGTAGTCATTAAGAAGACAATCGCAAATGCTGGTGAGGGTGTGGACAGAAGGGACACTGCTGGTGGGAGTGTGACCCAGGTGTCACTGAGGAAGTCAAGACGGGAGTACTCAGAAAACTCAGATCTACCGTGTGACCCAGCCACGCCACTGCGGGGTGCTTACCCGAAGGACTCCCAGTCAGCATTCCACAGAGACACTGCACATCCTGCAGCACGGTCCACAGTAGCTCTGGAACCAAGGTATCCATCAACAGAGGGACAGGTGTGGGAAATGTGGTTCACATACACAATGGAATGTTTTTCAACTATAAAGAAAAATGAAGTTGCATTATTTGTGGGAAAATGCACGTAACTGGACGTAATTATATGAAGTGAATTAAGCTAGTCTCAGAAAGATGCGCTGCATGTTTCTTATATGTGGGTCCTAGGTTTTGTAGAGACATAAAACTATGTATGTTGATGTGAAATTGTTGGGTGAATAAAGGAGACCAACCTGTGGGGGGGTGAGGAAGGGGAGGACAGGGATTACGGAGGGGGATATGCTCAGTGCACAGTATACATGTATGTGGAAATGTCCTTATGAAACAACACCATGTGCAAAGAATTTATACAATAGACTTTACAAAGTTAAATTTTTGGTATAAAGAATTGTCTAGTATCGTCATGACTACTGTATCCATGGCAGCACTGCATATGCCTGTCTAACACTGGTGAATTCAACCAGCAATGCGGTAAGGTGGAACATGGTGATGGGATGTCGTTTCTGATGTGCCCAGAGTCAGTTTACACGTATGCATCTGAGGTCTACTAAAGCAATGTTTCATCCTGAGGATTCTGGAAGATGTTTGTTATTCAGCCTTCCTGTTCCTTTAAAAAGATCACCAGCATTTCCTGTGCTTCTACCCTGTTCCTGTCTCCACTGCAAAGAGCAGAAAGCCTTGACACTCATTTCCAAAACATCTACACACAAGTTTTACTGTGCACGACAGCGTGGGATGTAAGTGCTCCCCCTTCCTGAACCCGCGCAGCAATCTGAACCATCACAGAGAAGAGATTGCCGCTACTCAGTACTCTTAATTAAGACACAAACAGTCTCACTGTTAAGTGCACAGGAAATGAAAAATACCAAAACTAATCTTTATTTAATAGGCTGCAATTTAAAATATTAGACAAACAGTGACCCAAACGGCTGCCTTTGTAAACAACAAGGTTCACCTTTTTCTTGTTGGATGATTTACAAGGTTAGGTATCTTTGTAGGGTGGGGATGGGCTTTGCAGTTGGGGCCTTGTGCTGAGTTTGTCCTCGTCCTCTAAGCTGTGGTGGCCCAGGTCTTCAGGTCAGGGCCAGGGTCTCACCCTGTCAAGTCTGGCTTCAGGCCCAACTGTTTCTCAATTGTGATTTCAGTGCCATCACCAGCTTCTGGGATTCTGTGGATGTTTGTCCCAGAGTCACTGGCCTGGGGTCCACTCCTGCCCTTCCTTACTGACGCTGGTCAGTTGCTTCACTAGGATCCTCAGCTGTACATCTAGTCACTAGAAAGGCAGCAGGAACGGCACACCCCAGCTATTCTGGCCACAATGCCAGCTGCATTCTATTGAAATTGTACGCCCAGCCTGACAAGCTTTTTGGCTGCATGCTAGTTTTGCTGGTCAGTTCTCTCTCTGAAGGCTGTACGTGTGTTGACTCGGCCCCCCTGCCCTGGGCTGACTCCCAGCCTGGGACTCAAGGGTTTTGGTTCTACTTTATGCAGTCCACGTCATGCTGAAAGAGAAGCCAGCCGTTAGAGAGTGACCCATGGCAGGCTGGCCAGCCAGGAAAGTTGGCTTGAGGAAGCGGAGGGGAGCTGTCCAGGCCTGGCCTGGGTCCTGGTGCCAGCCACACTGTCCGTCCTCTGGCAGGATCCAGACGTCTTTAGTTAAACAAAAGCTGCAAAATTCAGGCTGTCCTGGCAATACCTGCTCAGGTGGAGTGTGACCAGATGAACCCCTCTCCATACAGGTTGTGCCCATTCATCAGAGATTTCCACCATAATGTTGGAATTGAGTTCATTGGCCCGATAAAGTTGAAAAAGTCTTTACCCATAAAATAAATGTATCTGGGTTTATTTCTAGAGATAAGGAAATAGCACAATCAGTTCCACGTTTCTTAGTCTACATGTGAACCAGGTAACATACGTAGTGACTAAGCACATGGACTTTGAAGGAAGTCATGATTGATCATTGATCGTTCTGCACCTGTCCTGTGGTGATTTGTGGACTAAAGAGCTAGTGGAGACCATCTCCCTTATCCAATGACTCAGTAATAACACCATGTTAACTGAGTGTGAAGTGTTGCTGAGAAACTTCTGTTAATATAAGTGCATCTTGGTATGTGACATTCATGCAGATTGGACTCACAGGAAGCCAGAACTGCCCAGTGCTCTGTGTCACACTGGGTACTGTAAGGCTTCTATCTTTCCATGAGTGGGAGTGTGTTTTAAAGCAGCGTGGGGCTAGAGAGATGGCTCAGTGGTTAAGAGTACTGACTGCTTTTGCAGTGGACCTAGGTTTGATTCCCAGGAATCAAACTGCCTAAGAATATTTCACTGAGAATTTGTGATTTTCCAGTTTTTAAGAATTCACAGTTTGGACCAGCTTCCTGGGGCCAGCTTCTTTCCATCTGTCCTAGTGTGGGCACTGGTCCATTTCTTCTCTTGGCACCCCAGACCTCTGAACTGCCCTCTTGGCCCAGAATCCTCACTGCTTCCTGACCCTTTGCACCCAGACCAACCCAGTTCCTAGGTCTGGTCCCCGGGAGCCCTTGGTTGCCTGTTCCCTCTCCGACCTTACCTTCCCATGCCTGAGAAGGCCCTGACCCTGACTAACCCAGCCCCCAACTTCCTGAGGCCAGCATCTTTCCTGGAGGGATCCAGACTTTAAGGAGAAAGCCTGAGATTATCTGATCCTCATCTGACTTGGGCCTCTGTGGGAGCTCCTGAGCAGCAGGATAAAAGCCATCTGGCCCCTCCAATATAAAATCAAAGGAGGGAACCTGAAGCCTAGACCAGCCAGCTTTTTATGCCCAACAAGTAAACCACAAAGGCACATAAAGTTTACAGAAAGAAGCAGACAGGAACTCAACAAAGGAAGGCTTGAGTCTCACACAAGAATCAAAAACTGAAAAAAAAAATCCACATGTCAAAGTCACAGCGAAAAAAATAACAACACGAAAAACCCAAATAATATATCCCTACCAAGGACCAGAAGTCCTGTAGAGGAGTGCAATGAGAACCCCCTAGAGATAACGCAGGACATTGAATTCAAAAGAACAATGATAAACACGATAAAAGAATTCAGTGAATTTAAAGAACACACAAAGAAATCAAAGAACTGAAAGAAGATAGGGACAAACTTCTTTTTTAAAAAATTTTATTTATTTTTATGTGTATGTGTGTATTGCCAGCATGTAGGTAAGTGCACCTGTGTCATACAATGCCCGTGGAGGACAGAAGAGGCTGTTGGATCCCTTGGAACTGGAGTTACAGACAGTTGTTACTGCCATGTAGGTGCTGGGATTTGAACCTGGATCTTCTGCAAGAAGAGCCAGTGTTCTTTACTGCTGAGCCATCTCTCCAGCCCCAGGGACAAACTTCTGAATGAATTCAGAAAAGAATTAGAAATATTGATGAATACTCAAGCTGAAATGAAGAAGGAAGTGAAACACTCAATATGCTAATAAAAACGACAGGAGAAAGCCTCACCAATAGGATGAATGAAATGGAAAACAGAATATCAAGACTGGAAGATGAAGTGGACGAACTAGACCCTACAAGCAAAGATTATGAAAAATTTAAGAAAACACAAGAATGGAATATGCAGAAACTGTGTAACAACATAAAAAGACCAAACTTACGTATCATAGGCATACAGGAAGGAGAAGAATCTCAGGATAATGGCATGGACCAGATCTTGAACAGGGTTGTAGAAGAAAATTTCCCCAAATTAAAGAAAGACCTGCCCATACCAATACAAGAAGCATATAGAACACCAAATAGACAGGACC